GGGCCCTTCCGAAACAAGCCTTACAGAAATGATGCCAATCTTCTAATCAACGTTAAGTGAAAAAGTATCATTAAGTGAAAGAGAGCATTTTAAGAAGAATAAATAACGTTTTATTTTTAAGTAAGCAATGTTAAATAATCGATGGACTTCAATCTACGCGACGAAATCAGTAATCACTATTTATAGTTTCTACCTTTTGTCAAAAATAAATAAAGTACGGGTGAATTATTCCGGTTTTTTAATGGTTTCCACACGGATGAAGTATTAAGCAATGCATGAGTGACCCTAAACCCTGAACTAGAATGAATCGGTCTGATGTCATGGCCTAAGACCTTCGTGCGCTATCGCCGTGAGAGGTAATAAATCACCATTACCTTTCAGATCGATAGATTCTGGTCCGAAAACCTGAGATGATCCAACATTACAGCAAATTCGCTTCTAGCCATCTTCAACTTAGCTAGTGATCAAAGTCTGATGATGACATTGAATGATGCAACATTTTGCTCGATAGATTTCTGCTCCTCACTCACTATGTACACTTTCAGGGTTACCACTTTTATGCAGCGGCGATGGCTACGTGGAGGGAGATACGTGTCGGTATTGCGAAGCACTGTTCTTCCCGCCCACCGCAGCTGAAACATGGTGAGCGACGGAGCCACAAGCTAAGGATCTCTATCGCCATAAAATTCCCTTTTTTTGTATAACTGATGTTACGCTTTCAGTCCTTAGACTATTAAAGCTTCATCGAACGCAGAACCGGTGGGCTAGTTTGAACCCACGGGTTTGAGCCAAGTTAATTATGGCGTGTCGCCTACGGGCCATCGAGGTTCGTGATCCCGACTTGCACAGTCTAGTCTAGTCTATTAAGTCGGTGGCTAGGGACGGTGAAAACTGCCCTGGAACGCGGGTGTTAGGTACACCCATGTACGCGTTGTGTTCATTTAGCCTTGCTCGAAAGCGAGGACGAACTATGGTGTTTGTTGATGCACTAAGTGTTATTATTATACAATTCTGCCACCATCGTGCACTTAATTTATTTAGACTAATAGTTATAAGTGCGTTTCATGAAAAACGTGTTTAAAACATAATTTTACCTATGCTTCATGTTTTTAACCCAACTTCTACGACTGTTTGGAATCTGTCGTTTTTTTTTTAGATTTTTCATCTGGTGGATAAGTTCCCATACATTGAAAAAACGATTTATTCAAACAAAAAAGTTTTCCCATAGTTACACTTAATGAAATATACTTTATATATAACCTGTATTTTTCTTTCAGTTCAATTCGATATAATGAACTTCCTAGTGGTTATAATATACAAACATTGCTATTAGGTTTACAAAGCAAATAGGAAATACTGCTCATTAATATAAACATTATTGATCAAAGCAAGATTTTGATACATCAATGCCATACATTTAAAAAGGAAGCCAATATTATTGCTACAAATTTTTATTGCTGACTTTAGAATGCCCAACAACGTAATTATGTACGTTGTACTTGAATACATGTAAAAAACTACTTGAGAAACAATAAATGAACTCGGCCTGTAAACAATTTGTGTAATTATCCGTACGAACTAGCGTGCTTAATTACACTATTTTAGAATTTTATGTTTTTTATATGAGAACTTATTATGAACTTATTTTATACAAAAAAAACATACGTAATTTTTTTATATCTTAAATAACTAAAAATTTTGTAATGATAATAAAAAAGCAGGATGTGGTATGCTAAATGTGAAGGGTTTTTTGTTTGATCTTCAGTTATGTGGTTGCTTTTGTTTATGAAAGAAAAACATATATTTAAATTTATCTATTAAAACATATATGAAATATCTTAAGTATTGATTAAAATAAGTTTTATTTCGAAATTATGCTATACTATAGATTAGTGGAAAAGAGAAAAGAAAAAGTGTTTTAAATAAGTTTGTTCGTGTTATCCTTCCGCAGTTCGTTCACAGATAGATTTATTTAAACTCATATGTCACGGAATACATAGGTACTCGTATTTAGTAGGATCGTTAATATCTTAGTCTGTCAATGTTAACATATTTATGTTTAATTACGTTTTCTTCCGGCTTCAACGTATCATCTCATAAGCAATATTTCAACATTATTTTTTCAACAGATTAAAACAGCGGAATACAAAAGATTGCCACCAGATTTAAAATTACGACGAATGAACGTACGATGCTAAGGCTTTTGATTCAATTTGTCTGATACCTATATACATATCACTCAACAGTTCAACCTCAGATTTACATGAACTTTTTTAGATTTAAAGTTAAGAGATTTTTAGACGTATACTTTACTAAGCGCAAACCCAAAAACGCGTGACTCCATAAAGACACCTCATGCTCCATTCACGCAATCCTAAAACAAAACCCTAATACTGAAGATGTAAATAGCATTGGCGAGGGTGGGGAATGCCAGAAAGGCAATTCTTTCTTTGATCTCCTTTAGGCAAAGTGCGTCGATTAACTCACAAGGAAAATGAGGTCGCAAGATGGTAGGTTTGGAGGGGAATGAGACACCTATTTAGATCGTTCACCTGTTCAGCGACTCAAAATGAAGAATAAATCTGAATCCGTAGTTTTATAATAATTGTGTCACTAAACTTTAATCTATTTTGCAACAAACACCTCAATCGGGAAAAAAAGTGAGATACGGAAAAAATAGAATATCCGTTTAAAAATTGTCTTGTCTGTTCAATCCTCAATGGAAGAGACTGGCATATCAGTTTACGGTAATTATTATTATATCATCTGGGGAAAACTACGTTTTACAAGTAGCACCATTTCTTTGCGAATTACTTGAAGACGACGGATCCACGGCGGCCCATTGTAGTGTCCATAATTTGTAGGAAAAGTTTTTTTCAACTTTTTTTTTAATTTCGGAAGATGCTCGGCTAAAGGAGTAGAGGAGGAGAAGAATCCACGCCCAGAAAGTTTAAGGTAACACAGTCAGTCAAAGCACTCGTGGTAACTGTGGTTAGGGACTGGGAAGGAATCCTATTAATCGATTACAATGGTGTTTCTATTATAATCAGAAAATACCACGCATTATAGGGTGCCATTATACAAGAGAAGGCGAATACTAACGAAAGGGTTGTTCACTACAATGCAGTGAAGAATATAACGTAAATTCGGCCTATTTTTCGGACTAAGACAAAAAAAAATTGAATATATTGCAGAGGAAAAATTATTTTTTTCTTTTATTTTCAATTCTTGTCCCGCACTCCAAAAACTTGAAAACATTATATGAAACGGTAAATTCGCAATCCGAAGAATGTTAAACTTTGGTTGTTGGGAGTTTGGTCTTGATGTGTATTTTTGATTTAAATAATAGAAATTCTTGCTCATGGTTTAATTTCCAATAATACTCACTGAACCCAATGACGGTGATGTTTTAACCTTTATTCTTGCAGACTTAAATTTGTCAGAAAATTCTATCAAATATTATATAGATCCAATCCATTATGATCCAATTCGGAATCTCATGCAACAAACTTTAAAATATGGCACATTGGCACAAGAATTTAAGCAAAAAAGCATTAATGGATTGTTCCATTAGTATAATATAAAACAAAGGAATGTTATTTTATTCCATATCAGCCGCAACTATCCAGAACTGCAAAAGTTATGGTAATCGTGCTGTTGTAAAACTATTTTATCTTTGATTCTGCACTTATGCCAATCTAACGGATAATAGATATAAATTATAATACTATAATAACCCAAGTATAGTATCCACGATGTAGAGTTGTAAAAGCTTACTTCGTTCCGGTAAAAGATGCGAGAGCTTCTATTTAATGCACGTAATTATAGTCTGTTATATATGTGTATTGACAATGTACTCGTACTGGTTTTTTTGGTAAGTAATGGTCATCATCAATCATAGGTCAGCTTAACTGATCCTAAAATCGTAAGTAATTAAAATTAATTGCATTAAACCTGGCCTTATGATTATAAATAACTTTAGAAAACATTTTGTGTCAAAAAATACTATTGATGCTGGCCACTATGGACGTCTAAGTTTTTTATCGCTTGTTTTGTTTACTCTAACAATGGTGGGATTAAAAGATTATTCGCTATTTTATCCACATACTGTTCGTTTACTATTATTGAAAATTTACAAAACATCCATATTTTTTATTACTTTTGGATACAGTTGCTCTTTTACCCTCTAATTCTGTTTATCTTTAATTCCACTTTTTTATATTCCTTTTTACATATTTTCATTTTAAAAGCATCATCTCTACCAAAGGATAAGATGTGTGATATGTGACCAGAACAATCGTATGTTGTTCATCTAAATACCTGCTTCGGGTTGGAATCGAATCCACGACATACGATGTCGATATCTATAAGTTTTCACATTCAAATATGTTTCTTCAATATAGAAACAGATGGTAAAAATACTTCTACCGATTGGAAAAAAAGCCACTGACCTGAGAAGAACCCGCTAATGAAACTCAGCAAATATACTTTAGCAACTAGGCCAGTCATCAGAATCCTTTGGTTAATAATAATAAATTTAATATATTCGTTTAATAAAAATTATTCACATAACGTCGTCGTGGAAACAACCAGAAAGTAGCTGCGGCAACATTTAAATATTACAAGAATGTATTATATAAGAATCTTTGCCCATCCTTTACACAATATATTAAAAAGTTTGAGAAATAATACTATAATGATATTATATATGCGTCAAATAATAAGTGGTTAAGGATTTAAAACCTTCTGTTTACAGTAAAACATGACTTAATGTTTTATAACTCTTCCTTTGATATTGCAAATATTTTATTACAGGTATTGACAATACGATTGAATTAATGATTTTTACTGAGGTAAGGCTGGCGCCGCGCTGTGGCAAACCCAAAACGTGATAAAAATTTGTTGTTTTCTTTAAACCTGACTCAGTCAAACATTTTAATTTGAAACACACTGTTTTAAATACCACAGAAATTTTATAACCGGTCACAGTAACGCTTGAAATGGTAAGAGTCGCTTTCGTATTATATTTTTCTCAGTCAAGTAAAATCAACCGGCTTTTTCTTGTAATGAATATCTCTCATGAAATTAATAGAGTAAAGAACGATGTTCAAATCTACATGATGTTTTGTTGTACCCAAACAACTGTTGTTGTACAGTAAATATATATATTTTAAGATTAAAAATAAAATATTTGGAAGAGTACTCTAAAACAGAAATTTGATATTTTATTTCGTAATCGTGAATCAATTTTTTCACTTTTCGTCATAGAGTTCCGAACGAAGTTCATTGACAGTCGCAAATCATTTCCTATTGAAAAAATTTTAACACTGCATCACAGTAAACAATAATCGTTTGCTCGTTATTTGCGTACAAATCATGAATTTAATTACATGACGTGTATTTGATAAGTTGGTTTAGTTAAATAAAACGTCCATATACATATATCCAATATCCTTCCTATCTATATGAATCCCATGATTTATTGCTGCCAGAAAGAATGAGTCTTTTAAAAGGAAAAAACGACCGAATTATTAAAAATATATATGTTTGTAAATTACAGTTAGAAAGAAAAAATAATTTTCGCGTCTAGTTTTTCGTAAGTCTCCGGATATACTGATTTCTCTACAACATTTTTATCTCTATAATGATATCAATAAATAATGATACGCGTAATTTCTTTTACTATAAGTTTTCATTGTGAACATTTAACGTAGATTCGAAACCTAAGTGCATTAAATCATCTTCGGGCGATCTGAGATCCCAGAGCCAATCCGGGGAATGTCCAGTATTCCAGGGATGTTGCCCTTTTGTATATTCCTCACAATCATCAGTGCCATACAATAATATGTTCCCGATATAATACGAAACTAACGATCTGTCACGGGATTGTTCGGGAACTTCAATCAGATGGATAAAATGTGTGCACCATCAGCTATCCGTATCTACTCAATTAAGGCGGTAGCTGAAAATGGTTTCTCCTTTTTTTATATCTTTCTCCCGTCTTCATTTCTATTGTTAGAATCAGCTGATACTTTATCTACTTTTTGTCCTTCATTAGCATCTGCTGTCCCTTTCACGTTTGCGTGTCCTGTCACGCAAAATGTTTTGTTTATTTTTCACTCTTTGATCTAACGCTCCATTTTAAATGTCAAGTTAACCGCAAACAAATGATCCAACGCACGCGCAATGGTGTAAAACTTAAAAGACAAAGTACATTATTGTTTTGTTATGTTAGTATAAAACATGTAATGGAAAAATGTACATTACTTGTTAATATGCTAAAGATGGTGCTACGGACTGACTTCACGGTCAACTTCATTCTTCTTAGCGGCTGTCACTCATAGTGTCCCTTACGCAATTCTCTGCTAGCCACATCGCATGTCATAAATTCTAGATAAACTATGGAAATATTGATTTAGAAAACAGTTCGCGGTTTCTTATTACTTTCTTTTCGCATATGATCTCAATAAAGAATTAATATGTCAATTTAGTTTCGTGTAAAAAAGAATCAATTGATTTATAAGTACATAAATAAACTGAAAAGTACTCTCAGATTTTTGCGTACGCAGGTGACAGAGGACCGGATATTAATTCCGACACGGTGTCAGTGACACCGTGAAGTTATAATAAACGTAGGCTCCAATACGAACACATTATCTAGCCTTAACCAAGGTTGAAAATAATTGTCTCCGAGGTACTCAGTCTTGTTTTATTTCTAATGTCGGGATGCCTTTGACTCCTTAGCGTCAAAGCCATTAGAACAAGTTAAGCCGGTAGAAACAAGTTAAGGCAGCTAAAACAAAACGTGGCAAAACCCGTGTTATACTGACATCTTTAATATTATACTTTTCATTGGAGTATTGCACACTTAGCTAAAGTAAGTTATAACAAGTAGAAACAGTAGACTCCTCTAAACGAGATGAAAACAAGATAAACGTAAAACGAACATTGGGGAGCCACGCAAAGACGAACCGCAACTAATGCCATCTTCCCGCGACGGTGCGTAGCTACACCTGAAGTCGAGCTGCGAATAGCCAAGCTAAGGGGCGCGAAGCGATGTGATAAAAGAGCGTGGCAGCAGCGCGCGCCGCCAGTATCGAGGGCACCTGCACGCAGAGCGCAGGCGCACGACGCGATCAAAACCTAAGCCCGCGCACCCAATCGCACTCGCAACCCTAGCGCCCCCATAGTTTTCTCGGATCGCACAGGACACTCGATGTCCACCGTCGGTTAGTGACTGTGCTCTAGAACACGCCGCTGGCCACCTTCAGAGGAGGAGCCGCGCGAAACGGCCACAACACAAGTCCTCAGGTGAGACAATGATGATTCCAACAATAATTATGAAATCACCGTGCGTCGCATGAATCATGTGATGAAGGGAACGACGATTCGGCCAGTCACATGGATATAATTAAAGATGTACAATGCCATTCAAATTATGAATCGAATCGTATAAGAAAATCATTAGGATTTTTAACAAGTAGTTCTTATGACCTGGAATATTTAAAAAAAATATTTCGAACTTCTTTTTGCAATATAAAATTCCGCGCGCTCCGTTTTAGCGCTACATTACGCAAACTTTTTAGGCAAATATCAAATTAGATTCAGCAATTATAAATATCGCGGATGATTATGTAAAAATATACGATGAAACTTTACGGTGAATTTTATTTCTAATACACAAAGTGACAAATTATTTAAACATACACTCAAAACACAAACTATGTTTTATCCACAATACGCAATCAACACATTTTCAAGATAATATCCTTCTGATGAATAGCTATGTCGACATTTTTCTAAAAGGCCTTTTCACAGAGCATTAAACACGAAGTGCTCCGACCAAAGGTCAATCGCCACAGATCGTGGAAACCGATGAAGGATTCACGCAAAACACGACTGTTTTACATTAATGCGAAAAATCTTTTTAGCATAATTTTACATATTCTACGGCCATGCGTTAAGTAACGATTACGTTCAAATGCATTGCAGTCGGCACAACGTTTATCAACACTGCAACAGCATCTCGCCATTCAACAGCAAGGTGCAACGAGCCCGCTTGCGAAACCGCTCGCTTCATATCACGGATTCGTTTCGTACTCGACTTCCTTCAGAAGTAGAATGGTTGTAACTAATGGTTAATAGTAGAAAACGTGCAATAAACGCAACCGTCTATGAAAGGAGCTCGGTTTTGAAGCCAAGGATTCACCAAGGCGTTCTGAAGACGTTAGTATGCTCAACGCGTTTATCGGCGCGAGGCGGTGGACGTGTGACGTAAGGTCGCCTCGCGTGGCCACTGACATGACCTGAGATTAACTCACTCCCTACTATCGCCATAGAAACTATTTAAAAAAAAACTAACATTGTAACAAATACATCAAATTATTTAACATTATCATAAATGTAAAACATTATTTATCACCCGACACGTTTAATAATTCTGGTTAGAGTTGTTGGTTGCAAATGAATATGGTAAACGTAAAATATTTACACTTAAACATAAAGTATATAAGGCATGCAATAAAGATAAAAAACCGGTAAGTTAGTAACTTGTCATGGGTTTTAACATTTTTCCCATTCCGGAAAGTATTATCCTTTGTTGTTTAACAACTTCATTTTATTAACTTGATAAGATGCTATTTCTAGTCATCCTATTAAACGTCTATATACATAAGTTAATGAAACTATTATTATGGATTTTTGCTTTTATGTTATCTATACGCATAGTGAGCTTTGGCGGGCATTATCTTATTACAAATTTGAATCAAGTACTTACATAAAACCTTCACATACAATTTTGTATTGTCTTTCTTACACTTGCAAATATTTAAAAGATATAATAATATATTTATATATGTTACATACATTTATATATAAAGATAACATAATTGGCATATGCAATTTAATGCTCAATGACACTTAATTTAGTTTAACCAATACATGATGAAAATTATTCAATAATGTTGTAAAAAGATTTATACATATTTTATGACAATCATTAGACTATTAAACAGATTAACCAATATCCATGACTCCAACTATTTGTTATTACGACGAATGTAACCGTAATCCTTAGTAATATTATAAAGGCGAAAGTTTGTATGTATGGATGGATGTTTGTGTACTCTTTCACGCAAATACTACTGAATGGATTTTAACGAAACTTTACAATAATATAGCTTTATACATCAGAATAAGACATAGGCTATAATTTATATTCATATTTTATGTACTCTTTCTGTCTGAATTTTACACCTTCAGTCTATTCATCGCAGATGTAGTCGCGGGCAGCAGCTAGTTAAGAAAAATTTGTACCACAAAGGAACGTTTTAAAATGCAAAACTCTCATCTATGTGAAGGTTATTAAACTTAAGGAAAGCTAACATCGGAAATCTCTGAAGGCTAGTTAAACGGGTTAAGCAAAAATGAGAATCTTGTGAATAAATTAACAATAATATGGCAACTTCTATTTTGTAAATGCAGGCCAGGAAATTATCTATATTCAGCAACAAGTTGGTATTGATTCGCTGGTTTTCGTTATAACCGGTTCTGTCAATGCCGATATAGTTTTAATTATAACTTTTTCATATAGGTACATCCATTTTACCTGTTCTGCGGTGAAATATGTTTGTACTTATATACTATACAAAAGCTAATAAAAAATTATATTATAGAACAACAATATTATATAAAAATATAAAGTGAAATAATCAGCGTATTTAAACAAACAGTTAATTTAAAGCTGTTTCGTTGTATTGTTTTTCTGTTGGTAAATGGCAGTTGTTTATGTATTTGTATTTCCTGTTAATTATCTGTAAACAAAAGCAAGTAAACTTTATTTTATTTCCAGTTCATGCAAAAAAAAAAACCATTTGTTTTCTGTCTAAAATAAATTACTTTAGTAAAACGTGATTCTTTTAAAGCTTTTTATTAACATTTGTCATGAAGACAAATAATGTGTGTAACTTTTCTAGGTACATTGCGAACATGTCACACGTATGTGAAAATCATTAAAACAAATACTACTGATGCGTGAGATTTTTTATGTAAGATGGCTATCCAATAACTAATAGGAAATAATCCGTATTGTTGACCAGAGCCATTTAGCACCTTAAAATCGTTTTTATGTTCTTATTGTCAAAAACAACATAATATTTAAAAAAGTAGAGATTTCTCAGTGTAGAAAGTTCAAAATTTCAAAGTAAAATGTATCCATTGCGATTTAATTTTAGATCAATTAAATGTCAATCTTTTAGCAACATATTTACTCCAATAACTTTTCTGTAAACCACAATCATCTTTGTCGCCACGAGTAAACATCGAACTCTGCCGGTACTTTTTTAAAGTTCACTTTGATCACAGACATTAGCGGTTTATACAGGAATGGCGACATCGCGCTTTCTTGGGGCTATCAATGCCCATTTACTGCATATGCGGCCTTCAATTTGACGAATGTGAGGTGACAAACTCGAGGACATTAAGCAAGGATAGTCATTTGATGGTGTACGTTAGGGCGCACGTCCAACTTGACCTCGCGGGTTCGGCCGACGCCTGCAAATGTTTACATTTGATCCGGCGACGCCTTGCGACGTCCACCCGCGGCGCAACGGCCACTGATTAGTTGCAAAACGCCCGCGGCCGAATTGAGTTCAGGGTCGTGCGTGCTGCCTCCGGGTGTTTCGCAAGCACCACCAGAATGCAGCCGCTCTGCTCACAATAAACATAGCGGCGCGCCTCTGCACGGGCGGCCGTGAAAGCAGCCTCACTAACTTGTGTCGCCAAATCTAATCTGGTAACGCCACCGACGTAGTACTCGAAATAAGCGCCAAATGCGAGGAATTTCAATTAAGCAAAGCCTTTATAGAAACATGATAAAATGTAACGCATATTTAACGATGGTTGGAAGTTAGATATCAATGGTTTATAATGTCGTCGACGATCTTCTCTACTTCAAACACATTGTTTTGTTACGCAATAATATTACAACCACGGGCGTTATTTCATCGGCAGATTTATTAATTTCGATTATTTATTATTCCCCATCCGATAAATTATAACTTTTACTTATATAATACTGTATACTTACTCATATTTCATCACTTAGAGAACGCCAATAATGTACGATAAAAAAAATATTGCGGTCCCAAGATACCCCAATTTCATTGCACAAAACCTTTGAATAACGCTTGATTATTGTTACTGCTTTATAAATTAGCTACAATATCAATATGACCGCATAAAAACATTGACGCAACATGGTTACGAAAATAGGGAAATGATTTTTTTTAAATAGCATCTCGGCAAGGCTACGATAAAATTGAATAAATTCCATGTGATTATAGATTTGCACACTATAAATTAGGCCGATTATCTCATCGCTTTTGAATCAGCCATTCACTTTGATTTCTGATCTGCTTAGAATTTTGATTTGACCAACAAGTTACAGGCGTAAACTTCAATCAGTCTTGATTCGTGGAATGATACAAACTCGGCTGCCATAAGTGTTTCCCGCCCACAGAGATATGACTATTTAACGTGATTAATACGACTCGCTGTATTACGAAATCGAGACTACACTGTATCCATTGTCTTGTAACGCGAAGCGGTCCAAGCAAAATAAATCATTCCTTTATTCTGAAAAAGCGTTAATATAATAGTTTCCATGCAATTTTCTTTGTGTTATGACCGACGACATATTTATAATTATATTTAAACGTTAAATTGTAATAAACGAGGGCATAGATATATTCGACCCGCAATGATAATACTAGTTGCAGTTTGCACACACAGTCGACCACGCCACATTGCCGCAGTGTTCGCGGTACATAATCCGTCACTGTCGGTTAATGTTCTATTTCAATAAATAATTTTGAATCATTTCTACCTAGCCTATGTGGGGCGCGAAATATAAATATAGATGGTGTTGTTTAAAACTAGAATGTCGCGTCGCACGCGAGCCCAGTCGGTCATAATGTCTTCTGACGTTGGACTTATGTTTCTTATACTTCGCGCCATTTCCGCAATGACCACAGATCCATAACCGCTTAATTTACACCGATTGTGCAATAGCTGCGAGCGAATCGCAGTTTGTTTTAATGTAAAAATTCAAAGAACATGCCATTAACGCAAATGATGCTTTTCGCTTAGGTCATTTCAAAGAGACATAACCTGTGATCGGTTACATAAATACGGTTTTCTTGTTAATTTGTAAGTTTATTGTCTTTTTTCATCTTATTAAAAGTGAAAAATATATTCACTTGAGGTTAAATTGCTGTTTTGTAAATGCGTTTCTCACTCGTCTCATTCATATA